ATTGAGGGACACAGGAATTCAGATACCGTCAGTTATTCTGCCACATACAGGACAACTGGGCACTGGCAAACAACTGCAGGCCAGTGTAACCACGTCTCTACCCAGCATGCCTCAGTTTGTAGCTGGCAATACCAAGAGCATGAGAGGAGTGGGATCTGTGCCACTCAATGGACTTCAACTAAATGATTTTAATTGAAATAAAAACTATTTTCTTTCTTGTGCATGGAGGGACAAAGGAATTCAGATACTGCTGAGATGTCCAAAAGCAGCCCAACAAAGTGGTAGGCAACACAAAAATAATCACTAATAGGCCCAATGAGTGAACTGGGGACTGCCTGCAGCCCAGAAGACTCCTGAAGGTCAAGACCTGAATCTGAACTGCATAAGGCCGAGCCCCATACTAAAAAGGGAACTTGTTAACATGACCAAGGGAAGGTCACATATCAACCAGATGCTCAAGACCTACAAAAAGGTCACCACCAGCAGGAATGACTCTACACATAAAGGGCACCGAGCCTGAACTAGTGATTGATGAGTGCATTTGCCATTCGTTTTGCTTGAACTATGGTCAACAAAAAATGGGGACAACTCCTAGAAGTACAGGTCTCAGAAAGGAACCTAGGGCCCTGGTCCAGGTAAGAAAGACCAGCCAGTCTAATCAGAAAGGCCCAAGACCTTTGCACCCCTGATCATCTAGGACAGGGATGTCCAAACTCCGGCCCTCCAGCTGTGGTGAAACTACAAATCCCATGAAGCATCTCTCTCCAGGAGTCATGTCTGTGGCTGTGAGAATCTTGCAAAGCCTCATGGGATTCATAGTTCCACCACAGCTGGAGGTCCGCAGTTTGGACATCCCTGTTCTAGGATCAGAGGGACAAACATCTGTGACTAAAAGACCAACCCAACAACCAGTCTTGGTAAATGAGATTTACTAGGGAAAGCCCTAAATCAACAAAGCACCCACAAGGGGTCTTATGTGTCCCCGAGTCCCCCAGAGAACTAGAAACCACATTTTCAATGTGACTGAAGGGGTAGGATGCACAGGAAGCACCCCCAGAAAGATAGGCAGGAATGGTAGGTGTGGGAGCTTACCCTCAGACTGGTGAGATGAAATCACCAGACAGGACTAAGAATGAAGCTAATGCATCCTCTCTAGCACACAACAGAAGGGTACTGCTAAAAAAAAACACTGTGCCTAACCCTGACCTGGAGATTTAAGGAAGGATTCCAACTGCTAGCCAGCAGAATCATTAAAGGTAAGCACACCTTCTACCCGTCTAGTAGTATTACTGTTAAGGTGAGTTACTGGTAGACACACAATGGGTATAGAACACTGCTGAACAAATTCCCTCTGAAATGGGAACGGTTCCAACACACTCCTAGGGGAGGCCCAGAACCCTTCAGGGTGGTTTCAGTCCACATAAAGGAAAGGTGGGCAACTCTGGCCCTCCAGCTGTTGTAGAACTACAAGTCCCATGAGGCACTGCAAGACTGACAGCCACAGGCATGACTTCCAGAGGCATGATGGGATTTGTATTGAAAGCACAGCTGGAGGTCTGGAGTTGCCCACCCCTGGTATAGATCAGGCCTTCTTAAACTTTCTCCACTCGTGACCCCTTTTTGGCCGAGGAAATTTCTAGAGGACCCCAGCATCGGACGGAAGGGCGGGGGGTTGCGACCTTAAAAACTACACTACACTGCACATTAAACGAAAATGTGGGCCCCTCACACAAGTGCCGGCTGTACCCCCCTGATGGCGGTCCTGGCCGTGGACTCAGATCGCGACCCCGCTGTTCACTTGTGGGACCCCATATGGGGTCGCGACCCACACTTTAACAAGCAATGGTATAGAGGAATACTTTGAATAGCAGGTGTAATGGAAAGTTCTCTGCAGCTGTAGGATCTTTGAAAGACCCTAGGTTGAAGATTGCAGGCGGATCCTCCAAATGGAGGGAAGCATGAGCTGCATCGAGAAGATCTGAAGCGACCCCTTGTAGTTCTGAAGAGAGACGGCAGGAGACTGCAGTGCCTCAGAGATAGACTGTTGGGTCTCTGAATCGGAGTCAGAGATGGTCACAGCAGCTGGTGGCCCAGCCTGTTCTAAGGCTTTGGGAAGATCAGAGATAAAACTTCATGGGACGGCACTAGGGTGCACTCAAGAGCCTCTGCATTCGTTAGTCATTAGAGTTACAGTAGAGGCCCCTGATGACACAGAAGGGGACTCTGCCTCATTTGGGAGAGCTGAGGGAGACTCTGATGATGTAGAACCTATCACCAGATTCCACATTGCAGGCCTGGCTTTCCTCAGTGGATACCAAGTAGACACCCCCAAAACCGTTGGCTGCACTCACGTAACACTGATTTAACTAAGCCCTAAGTACAGGGCCTAAGGTTACAAAAAAAAAAAAAAAAGTAGGGATGCACCGATACCTCGTCACCTGATCTTCAGCCATTTGCTGCCTACATACACTCCGGTTATGACTGCATTTCTGAGGGCTGGTATTCTGATGGTGACAACAATGGATACCTGTGTCATGTTTATCACCACAACCACACAAAGTCTGATAGGGTGACAGCACAGAAAAATGACTTGAAAAGGGAAAGAGTTGTCACCCTATAGCAGGAAGTGACAAATGAAACAGAACTTGACAGGCGGTTTGAACCCTTCCTCACTCTACTAAAAAGGTTTTTGTCTTTGACCCCGTCGGAAAGATTTCCTATGACGTCCTGCCCTAACAGGAAGTGAGGGGAATCTCTCCAATACAGAAGTCCATATACTAGTGATGCACCGATACCACTTTTTTAAGACCGAGTACCGATACTTTTGATCAAGTACTCGCAGATACCAATTACCGATACTTTTTCTTAAAGGGACAGGTCATTTTCTCTAAAGCAATACAAACTAATGCTTTAAGGTCACTTTCTTAATACTATGAATCATGAGATGACGAGGGAGCATGACGACCGGCTTCCCGGCCAATCAGAATGCCAGGCGCTGCGTCATTACACGGCGCCCGGCTTCGCTAGCTTCCTGACCAACCGGCTTCCTGATTGGCCGGGAAGTCGGCTCCATGCTCTGTCATCACGCTGCCCGGCTTCCTGATACAGGAAGTACTCGTGCTAGGTATCGGAGCATTTGGGCGAGTACGAGTACTCACCCAAATACTCGGTATCGGCACCGATACTAGTATCGGTGCATCCCTACCATATACCCATCGCACTCCTGACCGCTTAATCCAAGAATGAGCAGCTGGGTGCAGCGGTGGTCTGCCTGAGGAAGGGGATCCTGTGTGACCCCAAAACGTTGCACTTGTGTGATATGTCGCATTCACGTCAATGAAGACGCATCATATCTGTAATTGGAGTGCCGGTGTTGTATTCATCTCTCTCTCCGATACACACACATGCAGCAGGCAGTGCAATCCCGACCGAGGCTCAAACTCTTCCCTACCATCCAAAACATAATGAAAAGGTCTTGGCTGGATTTGGCCAGGAGCCAGAAGGAAAGGTTTTGTTTTTTCCTGAACACTTGTCCTGCCAGTGATCACAGAAGGAAAAACAAATGTCAATGCATGTGATCTGCATCTGTATGAAATCCCACCTTATAAAGACCGGAGCACAAACTTTGAAAGCACATATATACCAAAGAACAAAAATGTAAATTACTGCAGCTTACCAGAGCTGCGTTTTTATATTTTTTCCCTTTATTTTGCACCAGGTGATCCTGCCAGTAACACAATTTCTGTCTTAGCCCAGCTCCATACGCACTTCCTGTCTTAGGCTGATCACTCTTCTCCATAGATACAGTGCAGTGAGTGCGTGTTGTCACTTTAAGGCCTCATTCACACGAGAAAAGGCCGGCTCGTAAAGATTCGTGCTGCGTGCACGGCCGTATCGAGCAGCTCCCGTGAAGGACAGGTGCTGCGTGTGATTAGTACGCAGCCCCCGTCCTTCTCTATGGTAGTACGTGGCCGTACACCGCCCAGAGCTCACCCGCCCTGCACTACCGTGCGGGTGTTCACACTCGTACGCTGATAGGATGGATCCTGTCTGCGTCCGAGCCGGGACACCCGCACGGACCTGTACTTGGGGTGGCGTATGACCGCGTACTCCCATAGAGAAGGACAGGGGCTGGGTACTAATCACACGCAGCACCAGTCCTTCCCGGGAGCTGCCCAATACGGCCGTGCACGCAGCACGGATCTGTACGTGCCGGCCTTTTCTCGTGTGAATGAGGCCTTAAAGTGACAACACGCACTCACTGCACTGTATCTATGGAGAAGAGTGATCGGCCTAGGACAGGAAGTGCGTTAGAACTACAAAAACCTCCCCTCTACCCATAACAGAGGAGAGGATAGCTAGGAACAATGCTAACTGATCATTTTTCTGTGTTGTTCTGCATGTTATCAGCTCACTAGGTTTTTGGCAGGATCAACAGATTTTTTTTTTGGCAAATATAACAGAACACTTAACTACATTTAACAGACCAAAAGGATGCAAATAAAATAATTTCATTGCTAGGGTTTACATACACATTCCAGGTGATAAAAAAAAAAAAAAAAGTTAATTACCATATGGCTTCTAAAATCTCAACCTGTAAAGCGCTGGGAGGAATCGGCACGAAATGCAGCTCAGGACATTAGCGACAGGAATTAAATGGACCGAGTTTCTTATATATTTTTTTTTTTTAATTGCACAAAATAATTTATGGTCAAACATATTACAGCAATACTTGTGCGGTCTCCACAACTTTACGTGGGAGAGATATGACACGGCAATTGGAAATGGCGCGCTGTCAGGGACAACATTGCCCCGGGATGCTCCAGAGGGTTCTGGGACACGAGAAGCAGCACCAATCCAAGCCTCTTCTTCCAAACACTGTTCCTTCCTCAGAAACCTTTTATTGGGCCGTTCAGAGCATTGTAATTAACGTCATGATAACCAGGCGGCTAGGCGCAGCCTCCACATGCTCACTCATTACTTTTTCTGGCATTTTGGGGTTTTTTCTCTTTCCTTTTAAGTGCAAATGCCAATATCGGGAAACAACCTGCCACGCCTAACTGATGATCCTGCTGATGGCTTGGAGTGACGGGAAGTCTTTATCCTCTAGGTGCAACTTTTTGTGATAGGCAACGTCCCGGGGGGCCAGCACCTGGCTGCAGCTGAGGCACACAGAGTAGTCCAGGTCGGGCACACCGGAGTCTGTTTTCCAGGCGGTCTTCTTGTTCTTCTTGTTGGAAGACTTGCTGGGGGTTTGCTTTTCTTGCACCTGGAGCTCTCGGTGAGCGGCCAGCAGTTCCCGCTGCTTGGCGTTATCCGGTAGGAGCACCAGCAGCTCATTGAAGATCAGACTGAAGTTGTCACCGAGAAGCTTCCGGCAGTTTTTATAATATTCAGAGGCAGAGATCAACCCCTGGAATGACAAGAACCACAATAGTCAATGGATTTCCTCTGACTAAAACAACATATTGTCAACTAACAAATTTTGCCAAAACAAGTGTCTCAGCAGTTTTTAATTTGGAATTGGAGAGCTGCACCTCACCTAAAGTGACACTAAACTCAGAAGTTAAAAGGAGATCTATGGAGGTGAGTGATTTCCACTCATCCTCATAGTTGGAGCCGACCTGTGGACAAAGAAGCTGTCACATGTCGGCTCTATCGATCAGGAAGTGAGCAGAAACATGCAGCCGATCCGCTCACTTCTATCGCTATATATTGAGCTTTGGGTCACGGGTGGACGCTAGTATATGTCCTCTTGTGCCCCTTAAGAGAATTATGGGGAAAAACACTTACCCCATAGTTCTCTTTCAAATCCTAAAAATGCATTCAGGTACCTTATCTATTAACAAAAACATATCTTATTTGTGTATCACTCAGCTGCAGATCCTCCAATCATCTCTGAATTGGTGCTGACACTGTCCTTCCTTCTGGAGGGGGGCTACTTTTGTTCCCCATGGTCCCTGTGTGTGTTGTAAAGTAGTCACCGCTCCAAGCTCACTCCACTGATGGACTATGGTAGGTTAAACAGGTTTGATATATGTATTTGAAATGCATGTTTAGTTTGTTTGGCTGACGTTCAGGATTAAATGAAGCAAAATTGCCTGCTAATGATTATTTATGGGACCGAAAAGTACAAGCCCAAGCGGCAATGAGGAGGAAATTCATACAGCCCAGTGTCACATGGACCAGAATATGTAAGCGGCACCATATTCCTTACCTGTCTAAATTTGCCGGAGTGGGATTTAAATTCATTGAATCTGGACTCGTCGCTATACAGGTAATCCTTGATGGAATTAATCAGGTCAATGTTTCTCTGCTGGAAATGTTCAGGTACCAGGTAAGTTCCAGGACAGAATGAAATCCTGAGAAATAGGAAAATGTATTAACATTGTATGCAGTACAAGCTGACATTTTCCTAAAAGGTAACAGATGCATTCATTCAGTAATGGATAAACACAATGCAATACAGAACAGTAGTGTATCTGCAACACAGCAATGGTATACAGTGCACCAAATAAAAGCCTTATACATACAATTATTCAAGCTAGGGATGCACCAATCGGTATCATATCGGTACCGAGTATTTGGGCGAGTACTAGTCCAAATGCTCTGATGCCTAGCCCGATACTTCCGGTATTGGCTTCCTGATGGGCCAGGAAGCCGGCTCCATGCTCTCTCGTCACTTGTCACAAGAGAGCATGGAGCCGGCTTCCAGGCCCATCAGGAAGCCCGGCAGCGTGTAATGACGCGCTGCCGACTTCCCGATTGGTCAGAAGCTGGCCAATCAGAAAGCCAGGCGCCGTGTAATGACGCGGCACCCGGCTTCCCGGTCAATCAGGAAGCCGGCTCCATGCTTTCTCGTCACCTAGTGACAAGAAGCATGGGGACGGTTTCCCTGCTAATCGGGAAGCCTGATGGCGAGTCTTTACACGCCGCCTGGCTTCCTGGATGGGACTTCCAGTACACGGCATTCGGTATCAGCGAGTACCGGGGAAAAAAATCGGGACTCGATACCGAAATACAGGTATCGGTCCAACCCTAATTCAAGCATTTACACAAACGCAAGCATTCCAGCAAATTAGTCCGTTATAGTCAAGTTTGCTCACACTGCTAAATTTGTCCTGGGCATCTAGGCATTAATAACCCCTGGTAATGAAAGGGCTCCTCTAACTCCATCAGGCTCTATTCAGATCTACGCACTGATCTTAGTAACTGGCTGTGTTGCATCAGCTTCTGAATGACACCTAAGCACAGTTTACTGGCAGGCCAAAACGCATGCGTCTTTCAGTGCACCACAGCATGTGATATGAACCACCTATGCATTGTGTTGAAAACATATGCTGCAAGTCAATTAAAAGCTGTGTTGTGGTGCGTCTTCAATAAGCTACCTTACTGCAAGCGTCTGGCTGTTCCTTTTCAAAACAATCGTCAGCACTAAATACAAAAGATGCGGTAGCATGGGAGATAGAGGGAAGGCAAAGTGTCATAACAAGCATTAAAGTGGGGCCACAAGAAACAAAATATATATATATGTTTACTGCCATGCCTATGAAAAGGATTTGTACTTTTGTACAGCCATTCCTGCGGTACGCACATCTCAGCTAGTCAGTTAAATGAAGCTTCTGATGACATGACGTGACATTTCACAAATAAACATATCAACAAAATAATTGATATCGGAAATTTTCTTTGTGTGTGCCGGTGAACCACTGTGATTACTTTGATATTTTGCACGGCGCCATCCGTGCAATCACCTCGAGCACCACTAATACTATGAAGTTGTGAGACCGTAAGGAGTGCAGGCGGCCTTCGGAAACTATAGTTAAATTAATTACTCTGCTACTTCCCGATTCCTTCCCGGGTAAGATACTCGCTCCTTGGACAGAGGGGATAATGGGGATTTCATGTCCAATGAGAAGGTTGCAGGCAGTCAAAAAGTAAAGATCTGCATTTCAGCAGTCCATTTGGCAGGAGCTTCCCTCTAACATTCCATATTCCCATAGATACATGCAAAAAATATAAAATAGCTCCAGCAATGGCTTTGACAGACCATTATACAGCCGGGGGGGCTGTCACTGTGTTCAACTCACTCTTTTACTGGTTTGATTGGAGGTTCGGCATTAATGGACACAGATGAGGCACCAGCAAATCCTGGAGGGGGTTTACCCACAGAGGAGGACGACAATCCGGGAGGTGGTGGCAAAGGTGCTGATGCTGCAGGGGAAAATCCTATAGAAATAATAATAATTTAAAAAAAAGGTGGAATAACACCAATTAAAGCAAATGTTGTTGTATATAATTTGACACATTACATACTAAAAAGTAGGGATGCACCGATATGTGCCGATACCGAGTATTTGGGCGAGTACTCGTCAAAATGCTCCGCTACCGGAACTTCCGGTCAGAGGGTGATTTACCTCTGACCGGCAGTGCCGAGGGAGCATGCTTCACTTCCTAGCATAATTGGCTAGGAAGCCTGCTTCACTGGTTGCTAGGCAGCGTGGCTTCTTGACCAATCAGAGAGCCAGACAGCACTTCAGACTCGCCGCCCGGCTTTCTGAATGGTCAGGAAGCCAGGCTGCCTAGCAACAAGTGAATTTGGATTCCTAGCCAATCTGAAAGCCAGGCAGCGCCTCATGACTTGCCGCCTGGCTTCCCGATTGGTCAGGGAATCAGGAAGCCAGGTGACAGGTCATGATCCGCCACCCGACTTCCTACTAATCAGGGCACAAGGCACTGGGTACCGAAAAAAAAAAAAAAATCAGTACTCGTGCTCGTACTCAAAACCGAAAAACCATATAGGTGCATCCCTACTAAAAAGCAATGTTACGGTTTATAGTGAAATAAAAATACATATTACAATTTTTGGCCAGCAGACGGCATGCACGAGGTAGAAAGCTCTAGGGTTTTTCCCAAATTCTGATTTGCTGCTATATTGTGAATCGCCAATTTTATGAATAAATTGTAACTGCAGAACAAATTACATTCAACCAAGCATGAAAGTGAAAAAGCACTGCTGGGTTCTTATTAGAAAGCCAAAATGTTTTAGTTTCTCAGCAGCAAAGATGCATGAAGCAGCTGAAAGAATACAACAGCTGTTCTACACCTTGCAAGCTGGACCTGAGTTTGTATAATATGTCTTCCTGCAAGATACTTTTTAAAATGAATGGATGCATCTGACTGGTCATTAAATACATTTTTATCTTTTTTTTTATTTAAAAAGGAGAACTATGGGGTCAGGGCTTTTCCCCATAGTTCTCCTAAGGGTCACGGGAGGACACAAACTAGCGTCCTCCCGTCACCCAAAGCTCAGTATACCGTGAGTTACAGCTCGCAGTATACCGAGACCGCCGCAGCCGGAACTGATCCCGACAATGCTGTCTGGATCCACCCAGCTGCGTGAGTGACGGCTGGCTCTGCCTATCTAGAGGTAGAGCCAGCTGTACCCGCCCCCTCCCGTTCCTCCACTCAGCGCTGGAGGATCAGAGCGGGGAAGGGGAATCCCTGCAGGGAGCCGTGAGTGACAGTCACTGCTCTCTGCACGGATAGATCGAGAAGTGAGCGAGCAACGGTATGTGTCCGCTCACTTCCCAGTCTACTGAGCCGACCTGTGACAGTTTCATTGTCACAGGTGGGCTCAGATTATGAGGCTGAGTGAAAATCACTCGCCTCATAATTCTCCTTAAAGCAACCCCCTATTCCCCGATTCTCTTACCTGGTGGTGGCATTGTAAGGATATTATTATTCACCAGCGCTGGAAAGTCCTCCTCAGGCAGAGGGTACTTTGGTACAGAGTTTGCCGTTTTATGTAAACCGGGAGGTTCCCTAGCTCCGCCTCCTTTTTCTGGAGGTTTGCGCTCATTCAGTCCATTCACAACAGTGTTTGACTTGTCACTGAGGATGGAAGTAGCGGGTGGAGTTGGCGTGCGCTCGGTCTCTTTGGCGTTTTCTTTGAGGGAGGAGCTTGTGGACCAGTCTTCTGGCAGCTGAGAACTAAAGGAAGTGCTCTGCTTCTCCGAGCCCACCCTCTTCTTCTTGCTAAGCTTAAAGTTGCTCTGGGGATTCCCTGTCAGCAGTTTCGAGATATCGATCATCGTCGGAGCACTGCGAAACTCTTGAGCGGTAACGCCAATGTCGTCGTCTTCGTCCTCAGAGAGGGAAAGACATTTTTTCGCTTTAGCCAAGGACCCTTTCCCACTGCTCGGTCCAGCAAACTTCTTTGAGGCTCTGCTAGAAGGAGCTGGTGCAGGAGCTGCAGTTTTAGATGTGCTCTTTGAAGAGGAAGCAGCCCATGCAGAGCCAACTGCGGAAAGTGGTTTTGAGGGGTTGGCTTTGGACACCAAAGCTGGAAAGTCCTCCTCGTGGAAGGCATTGCCGGACCTACTGGAGGCAGTGTATGACATTCCCGCTGTATATGGTGGAACAGATGAGTGGACTGAAGACGAGGACGCCGCCGCTGTCAGACTGGGAAAGTCCTCTTCTTTTAGTTTAGGAGCAGGCTTGGCTATACTGAAAATTCAGTTGAAAACATAAAGCATTTTTTACTAACTTTTACACATCTAATGCAAACAATTTATGGACAAATTAAAAAAGGGACCCTGTTGTGGCTAGTATAAAAAACCTCCAGCAGCTGCCCTCTATAAAATAATACATTATATAGTTACCTGTCCGGCGGGTGAGTAAAATATTTGCTATGGGCACTGCTGTTGCAGAGTTGTGGGCACTGCTGCTATTCGACACTTCAGGCATGTTAAAGCACATTCCCCACTGGGCAGTGTGGTACCTTCCGGGGACCCCTTTTGTTACTAGAAAACACAGTAGTGACGAGGGGCCGGTAGAAGAAACCACAGGGTCCAACATGGGATACGGTATATGACACACCCAGAAGTCATTAATATTAGCAGCACCAGGAGAGAGCAATTAACTCAAAAGCTGCCTGCCAGACAGACATTCAACTTTTACAGCTGACAGCTGCTGGAAATTTTCTATACTAGCCACAGGGTCACCTAAAAGCCAAATTCACAAGTTTTTAACCCATTACACCTGGTAAGGAAGCAATGCTACATCAGACCATGAGAAGCTGACATGTGGGCACCAGACTTTATTGCTGGTTACTTGGCATCTGGGCTCCTGGACTCAGTGGTGGAGAAATAAATATGGAATTCAGGAGCCAGTCTATCTAATCCAGGAACCAGCAGGATTATTTTTTTTGGAGCCAGCTCCATTGCCAACAACTAGAAAAAAACAACCTCAAAAGTTAGCCATCAGCTATAATTTTTTAAAGGAGAACTATGGGGTTAACTCTTTTCCCCATAGTTCTCCTTAGGGTAACGGGAGGACACAAACTAGCGTCCTCCCGTCACCCTAGGCTCACTCTGAGACGCCGCAGCTGAATCAGATCCCGACAATTGTGGCGGGATCCGCCCAGCTGCGTGACTGACAGCTGGCTCTGCCTATCTAAAGGTAGAGCCAGCTGTACCCGCCCCCTCCCCCAGCCGTTCCACCAGTCAGCGCTGGAAGATTGGAGGGGGAATCCAGCCCCTCCCCTGTCATGGCAGAGAGCCGTGACAGGATCGAGAAGTGAGCGAACGCCGGTATGTGTTCGCTCACCTCCCGATCTACTGAGCCGACCTGTGACAGTCTCATTGTCACAGGTCGGCTAGAACTATGAGGGGAGTGAAAAGCACTGGGATTTGTCCAGTCCTGGACTACATACACAAAGTCAATTTAAAAAGATAGTTTTGTTAAAACTGAAAATGAGAACCAAACTTTCTTACCTGAGCAGAGGAGTGGCCACAGCTGAGCCAAAGGCAGGGAAATCCTCCTCCGTCAAGGCACCATTAGATATGCCAGTCACCTTGCTGGAATCACTGGGGCCTAGAAAGAGATAGAAGTTTATAACAAGGCAGTCACTGACAAGTATATACAACATGTGCAAAATACACACACAAGGAAGATTTTTTTTTTTTTTTTATGCACATAGGATAAACTGAAAAGGGCTTTACAGAGCAACTCCAGCCCAAACATGTTTTCCTTTAAAAATTGTATAGACTGATGAAGAATCCAAACTTCTGTCAGTGAAACGGTTTCAATGTCTCATATTAAAAACCAGTGGCTTTTAATGCTTACAGTTACAAATACATGTAAAGCCACGCTGCCACATCAAGCAACCTCTGGAAAGGGAGGGGGGTCCAAAATTTGTGCCAAGCATGCACAGCTCAGAGTACAGCCCTGGCATTCCTCGATGGTAGGAAGAATTAACCCCACGCACAGGAGACCTATTATCCAGGGATGGCCAAAAAAAACAACCCATGAATAAGACCTGAAGGTGCTAGAGCCAGAGGAGGAAGAAGCCAAGTGTGCCATAGCATATGCTTGCACATTAAGATAAACAGCCACTCACCACGATGTGGATTTTAGTTACGCTTTAAGGCTCAAGTCACACCACTGCAGTTATGTAGCATGCATTATGCACATTGGTGCGATGCGGTGCCATTCATTCTGAATGCCACCCCACCACACCTTGCTAACAGATGTGTGTTGTAGCGTGCTGCATTATAGAAAAATTTACATGCACCTATTTTTGGTGCCTTAGGCAGCTCATTCAAATGAAAGGGCTGTCTTAACACAACACACGCTAAGGCATGGCATAATGCACATAAACACGCATGCAGAGAAAGTAAAAACGAACTCAGCAATGCACTGTGGCTGCTTTTTGTAACATATCAAAAATGAACATGGCAAACAATCTATGCTCACCTGCAGCTTCAGCAGAAGGTTTTGGGACAGCCTTAGGCCTGCGCCCCTCATCAGAGTCCCGGGCTTCCTCTTTTCTAGATTTTGAATGATCAGAAATATCCAGAGCTGGTTTCCTCCCCATCTCTTCCTGTCGCCTGGCTGCTACGGAGGCTCTTACAGCGGCTGCCACCTCCCGGTCTTCTTCTTCCCTGCCAAAGTCATCAATATATTCATAAACATTTTACCAGGATCTTACAATGACGAGTTTACCTTCAAATATCAAATCTAAAATGAGCTTCTCAGTCACTGCTCACCGTTTATACCGCCAGCTCCCCCTCTTGTTTTGCTGCCCTCCACGTCCTCTCATCTGCCTGTTGAATCTGTCCACCTCTTCAAAGTCACCTCCTCCTACCACCGCTGAAAAACAATACAAAGTCATGGTGGTCAAAAGCACAATGAGAGTTGAAAGTCCTTAAATCTCCAGGCGAACAGCTCAATGCACAAACACACACACACACACAAATAAAATAACTGCCAAAGAATATGCATTTTTTTTCTATATTTACTAAACGCATATGTACCAAGCATTATAATTAGTGATGCACCAATATCGGTATTTCGGTATCGAGTACCGATATTCTTTTTCGGTATTCGCCGATACCGAATCCCGAGTACTGGAAGTCCCATTCCGGAAGCCAGGCGACGTGTAATTAGTCGCCACCCGGCTTCCCGATTAGCAGGGAAGCCGTCCCCATGCATCTCGTCACTAGGTGATGAGAAAGCATGAACCGGCTTTCTGGCCAATCAGGAAGCCGGCCATTGTGTAATAAACAGTCTTGAATCCTGTAGCACTCCTTACCGGAAATCCCAAAGAAAGTAAACGGGTGCTTGAAATGACAGCGGATGGCGCCACACATGAAACAACTAGGAATGTAAAGGTCACCAGCACTCCAGCGACAACTGACTCAGTGCAAATCCATTTATTTGATAAATGTCACTCAGAATAACAAGCGATTTTGGGGCCGCGCAGGGTCCCCTTCATCAGGCTCAGAGTAGACGCGTAGGCGTTGTGTAATGACGCGGCGCCTGGTTTCCTGATTGGCCGGGAAGCCGGCTCCACGCTCCCTCATCATGAGGTGATGAGGGAGCATGAAGCCGGCTTCCCGACCAATCAGAAAGCTGGGCGCCGCGTCATTACATGGCGCCTGGCTTCCTGATTGGCCAGCTTACCAGACTGTGTAATAACGCGCTGCCCTCCTTCCTGATACAGGAAGTATCGGGCTAGGCATCGGAGCATTTGGGCGAGTACATCGATACCGATATTGGTATCGGTGCATTCCTAATTATAATGGCGGTGGGGAAAATCCTTCTGTGAAAAAAAGTATAATGAAATATACATGTAGCGGGAGTCTTGTGGTACTCGCTCTTAAACAGGACTTTTAGGGTTGAGTTTACGTAAAAGCGTATCTAAACCCAAAAACTATTTTATACATTGCAGCTTACCAGTCCTTGGATGTGGTGGCTGCATTCGTTTTGAGTTTCTTCTTTCGTTACTGGCAGGATCACCAAACGCCATTTTCTGGTCTAGGGTGACAACATTCAAATCACTGCACCGTATGGAAGAACAGTCTTTTTCACTTTACTTTGCTCTTCTAATTTGCATTACAACAGGGCTGGACAAATCCCAGGAGCCAGGTAGCCAACGCTCCTTAAAAATTACAGCTGACGCCTAACTTTTGAGATTTCTCTGGTTGCTATCAATGGCGCTGGCTCCTGGACTGCCTCTTGAATTTCATATTAAATTTGTCCGCTGCTCTATTACAAACACGTCCGTCTCTCCATGACACAGGGAGGAGAGTTTGAGACAGCTCGGACAACTAAGAACATTAAGATTTCAGTTCAGTGCACAGGAAGTTACAAGGACACTGGATTTCTATCAAAATCAAACATCTATTTTCTGTACTGTACTTACAAGAAAATGAATGAAGCCATCACAAGGACCGGTAAGCTGCAATATATTCCATTTTTATTAGGAATGCACACAAATTCGGTCTGAAAACTGTACTTTGGGCAAAATGCAGTGCATCCCTGGAGGGGACACAGAACAGCGCCCAGTGGCGGAGTGAGAAGCTTTCAGAAGGCCGAGCAGGGCGGGGAGAGCAGTGTGGTTAGCATTATGATGGGAGGCTGAGCTCTCCACCCGTACAGCATCCTGTGACAGGCTAATCAGGATGGGGAGCGGTTTACAAACAAACACTCAGCGATCAGCTGTTTGTAAATAACTGAGGAAATAGTATGTTTATTGTGTTCCCAATTATGAATGAATAGGAAGTGCTCTACATCACTTCCTGTTCAGTCATGATTGCATACATAGTAAGTCATACTATCTCCACAGTTTACGAATGGACAAGAGCAATCAGTATAGAGGCTTTCTGTTGTTACATAACATGGGCTGCAGAAAAAACAATGTTTTAAAAAGGTTCGAAAAAATACATATTTTTGGTTTCGGCCTGACAATTTTTTTTATTTTCGGTTTCATTTTGAAAATTCCATATCGGTGCACCGATATCTAATTTTTATTCGTGGGGTGAATGGCAGCACAAAGGTCCTAATTTGAATACTATCACAGTGTATGATGGTTAGGGCAGTAGGGATCCCATAAATATCATCTATTTTATACACGCAATATACAATTTTGCTTGCGTTGTGTCTGAAGGAGGCCTAACTATTAACAACAATGTATCTTATTTGTGTATCACTCAGCTGTAGATCCTCCAATCATCTCTGAATTTATTCAGACACTGTCTGGAGGGTGGCTACTTGTGTTCCCCATGGTCCCTGTGTGTGTTGTAAAGTAGTCACCGCTCCAAGCTCGTTCCTCTGATGGACTACAATCTCAATACAAATCAGTAAACTAAGCGTGAGATTGTAGTCCATCACAGGAACGAGCTTGGAGCGGTGACTACTTTACAACACACACAGGGACCATGGAGAACAAAAGTAGCCACCCTCCAGAAGGAAGGACAGTGTCAGCACCAATTCAATTGTTTGTTAATATTTAAATATGAAGAAGTCACTCGCACTTCAGTCAATATTTTAATGACTTCTGTGGTGTCACAACATGGCGACGTTTCGGAAACCCGTTTGGTCCCTTCATCAGGCAAACACTTTTTGTTTGCCTGATGAAGGGACCAAACGGCTTCCGAAACGTCACCATGTTGTGACACCACAGAAGTCATTAAAATATTGACTGAACTTGAGCTGGAGGGAGAGTGACTTCTTCAGATTTATACTGATTTGCGGGGGCATCTGTGGTCGCTTAGCACCCACCCGATACTTGAGGGTTATTATCCGGTCAGCTGTGCGATGGGTTTCTTTTGAATTATTGAACTGTTAATAGTTAAAAAGTTTAGTTTAGTGTCACTTTAATGTTTATAGTTTTGATCAAACTTTATTGCAGTTACGTTATGTGTACAAATGTAGATTAAATAGTTATAACAATACTAAAGAAAGAGTTCAACGCTTGCGTGTTCATTTAAACCCGGAGAAGAAGTGGCATTCAACATATAAATCCATCTCGTCTCTCTTGGTAAGATCCTTTAATCATGATAAAAGAATCTTACAACGGATTTTTAGGTTAAATAGTTACAACAATTAACTGTAAAGCTGAACTTCAGGAATTACACAAAAACACCCTTGTAGTATATGGGGAGCCACTGCAAGGGTACTTTGTGTGATTCCCAGGGTTCAGCTTTAATATGCGGGTAGTAAAGAATATCAGAGATACAGAGCCAGAAGCAAGGAATTTAGTATAAGTGCTCTGACTCATCAGGCTGGTGAGAGGACAAAGATCTCTTCGTCTCATGTTACCTTCAGCCCTGCGGTTATGCCGGGGAGTGTAGCTGAACTGGATGTCTATCTGACGGTTCTGTCTGGCCTCTGCGCGGTTCTTGCTGTGGCAGGATGTCTTGTGGGCCTTGTAGTCTATATCAGAACGGAATGCGTGTGTGAACTGTTCTGTGCTGCACCGGTCCTCCTCGCACAGGAAGTGACTGTCACGGAAATGTTCCCGCAGAAAAGTGTAGTCACTGCAGGAGAAAAGATGGTTTCAATTTAAAGTCCGGCCAAAAGTTTTTTTTATGCTGTGGACAGAGGACAACAGTTACACCTTTGCCATGTTTGTATTACTGTGACCCCTTTTCCCTCTCTGTAACACCAAAAATAGAAACGACGGATGCACAGACAGGTTTTTCAGCACCGAGTACAGATATTTATCTTTCGGTACTTGCCGATACCAAGTACAGATACCGGTACTTCCGCTAGCATGGAGCCGGCTTCGTGGGCAATCAGGAAGCCCAGCGGCGTGTCATTACCCACCGCCCGGCTTCTTGATTGCCTGGGAAGCCGGCTCCATGCTGTTTGGCCGGCTCAAGACTGATTCGCTGAGAAGCCGGCTTCCCGGGCAATCAGGAAGCTGAGCGGCGAGTGATTACATGGCTCCATGTTCCCTCACGGCACTGCCGGTCAGAGGAAATGTCCCTCTGACCGGATGTGCTAGTATCAGGGATAAGTATCGGAGCATTTGGGCGAGTACGAATACTCGCCCAAATAGTCGGTATCGGTGGATCCCTACTAGAAACCAACTAGAAAGATGAGTCTCTGCTCTCTTAAGAGCAAGAAAGCAAGAACATGATTAACTAGCAGAGCTAACGGTTCCTCCTTAGGAGAAAGCTCATATAATCTAAGAACAATATAAAGGAATAACAAGGACATACATAATGTGTTAGATCACATAACAGGTTCAGTTCCAGGGAACCCATATAGTGAACTTTCCATGACAGCGTGATATTGTCCTCTATCTTACAGCATTACGAACCATAAAGACAATACAATTTGCTTTTTGGTTGCCTATTTACATACTTAAAGAAGAAAGACCAACCTATAGTATTCCTGGGCCCCCTCAGAGTCACAGAAGTGACAGAAGTAATGGTCCCTGCGTAAATGTTTGAGCAACTCATCGTTGTCGAGATACCGTTCATCGCAGAACTTGCAGAGAGGATGACCACGGTGGGACGTGTCCTCAGGGTCACCATGGATACGATGGCGAGCCAGATCCTTACGGCTGTACCACTTCCTCTCATAGGTAAAATTCTGAAACAAAAAGAATGTTGAAGTAACCCGGGACTTTATAGAGTGCAAAACAAAGGCTTATTTACGCCAGAGCGGTCACCATTGTAGATTCTCTGCAATAATAATGCAGCTAAAATCCATTCAACATATAAACATCTCTAAAATGACTCTCTCTGTGTGCTCATTCTTTCCTTCATTACTATATTCTTTGCTAGTGGATGCCTGGATGATACTGTCATTTCCAAGGACTTCCTCATTTAGAGTGCCAACACTATTGCACCCAATCCGCTGTCTTCTGTATTGCCACATGCTCTGGTTTTACCGGGTGAGGAAGCCATACGCTTGCTCTTTTCTTTTCTGAAGCCGCACCACATGACACTTTTCACTGGCTTGCAGGGCGGCTTCAGCAGGTTGATTGACAAGCAGCTCCTCCTGCCCAGCTAGCCACCCCACATGATAATGCCCAGGGGCTTGTGGGGTACCTCCAGCAGGGTGACTGACAAGGGCTTGTTTCCATACTAGCTGTAAGGCCCTGTTCACATCGAGCGGTTCACAAATCGCGCGTTTGTCGCGCGATTTGCATTTTGCGCGATAGCCGCGCAAATGCTTGCATTGAGCAAGCTTGAATCGCGGCTAAATCCGCTCCAAAAAGGGTCCTGCTGTAGCGACACACGACCCGCGACAGCAGGACCCTTTGCCCCATTGAGAAGCATTGGAGAGCGATATCGCGCGGTAAATTGCCGCGATATCGCGGGAATTACCGCGCGATAAATCGTTCAATGTGAACGGGGCCTAAGTCTGCAGAAACTTCACCTCTACTAGTGTAAACATGATAAGTATTTATTTTTTAAGTTGAAATTTAAGTGCTTTATTTATTTTTTTAAAGAAGAAAAAGAATTTTAGCTACCATTAAACTGGGTTAAGTGCTCATTTTTCAATAATAAGTTATACTCACCCAACCCTCCAAGCTGGCCGGCTGTGACAGTGCTCCCTCCTCTCCGTCTCTTCCTCTGCTGCAGCGACGGTATGTCCCTTGTGCCTTTACATAGTGTATAGAGCATGATGACTCAGGGACCTTACACCACTGCAGGAGGTGGAGGAGGAGAGAGACTCCAAAGACCGGTCTAAGAGCAAGCCGGCTCCTAAGATCAGGGGAGTATAACTTATTTTCGACCATAGCCAAAAACAAACATTTATCCCTTGTGGTACGGGGGAAGCCCCACTGCAAGGGTTAATAACATTTTTACCCGGCGTTCTGCTTTAAGAAAATATGTGACCAGAAAAGCAGCCCCAGTGACATCTGTAGGTAGCACACATGTTGCCTGCTAGCTCCTGCAGACCTGAACCCAACCTGTGCCATTTTACTGATCCTCTTCTGCCCTTTTATTAATCTAACATGTCGGGGCAGTCCGTCAGCAGCGGGTGAGGGGGCGGGGCAGTCCGTCA